CCCCCCCCACAAACTAAAAAACTTTACAGTAAGTAAAAAATAAGAAGTAAAAAATTTTTAAGATAGACTTCTTCCATTAATACATATTATAAAAAAAAAATGCTAATTAATATCGGAAATGAATTTTGCATGCTAAAAGGCAGGAGTTATCGACATCAGAATATATTGTTCGCACCAAATTGTGCTCAATTTCATATACATTTCAAATTTCGAGCCTCATGTTTGGATAGAATTCATTTCTGTGTGATATTTTATACGTGAAATAGAAAACGAATAGAATTTCACTTTTTGATTTCTTGAAATTTGTCCCGTAATCCTTGTTGATGAACGATGAATGAGCTAATTAATAATGCTTCAATTCTCAATTTACCAATAACTTTATTTTCGGTAATATTGATCGTCAAATGGATAATAAAAAGATGTGGCGTAACATTTCTTCATTTATACGTGAAACAGAAAACGAGCAGAATTTCACTATCCGTTGACTTGACATATGTGCTCACATCATTTCTATTATAATTTTTAAGCCGAATAGTCATAGAGGAAAAAAGGAAAAAAATTAGGCCGAATAGTCGTAGAAGAGAAAAGGAATGTTTTACATTCCAGGAAGCTGCCGAAGAAAATATGAGTGAATAATATGGAGAAATTATTTTTTTGCAATTCAGGCGCTAAGAAAAGAGAGTAGAAATTATTTCATAAACAGCAAATTTCAAAATGTACATGGAAGGTGGCTTCAAACCATTATGTATTAGCGTGATGTCACAGCTAAAAGTATCGGAAATGGAATAAATTTTTCAATGGATTGATTCTTGAGTAAAATTTTAACTTATGGTGCAAAGCTAGTGGTATTTTTAAGCATTTATCTCTACTTTTTTTTTTTTGATTATCAATTACCGTTCGTTGAATGCATTAATGTCTATCTGAAGTTATTTATGGATTTGCTGAGATGTGAAGAAATGCAAATAACAAATATCTTCATTTTAAATGATTCAGTTGACTCATTTCTTTACTTCTATCTTTATAATTTTTTGAACATATCACAAATTTTCATACGAGTAAGTACCAATTCATTGTGCTGCCAAAAAATTTTACTTCAAATTCTTATTTTTTTTACAACAACATGTACAATTGCATATATTATCATGGAAATAATACAAATCATACGCATCCTTCTGGAGCATTTCTCTGATGATCGCAAACTTTGTATTTCTCATTGAAGAAAGTTGCTGCCGGACATTCCATCACATGTGGATAGTTGTGTGCACAATGAAGGAACAAATGGCAATCGTCGGGATGCGGAAACAGACCTGAAGGCCGGGGACATTTCAACTCTGAAATAGATTTCAATATCATAACAAGATAATTCATTGTTTCTAGATTATCTATCGTAAGATTAGAAAGTTTTTTGGACTAAAAAGAAGAATAAATTATATGTAGTAAAGAGAGATAAACAATATCGGCTTTTAAGGCTCATTTAACTTCGATATTATTTTTTGGCAATCAAAATTTCTGTCTCATTTCTGAAAGATTATGAGTAATTTTGTCGGTATGGCATAATTTTTCGTATTATTTCAGCATAAGAAGCATAATTATTGAATTAGGCTTTATTAAGCATGGTTATTGGATTGAGCATTTATTGCCATCGTCTAATTCTGACTTTTTCAGTCGATTTCTTCAACTCTGTAATTGTTCATTTCCCATTGTTGCTTATACATCCATTTGCTTATTCCTGCTTAGTTATTCCTTTTGTTTAGGTTTGTTCAATTAATATCCATTCGGCTAATTTATAATCGTCATTTCCGATCAATCTTACTCAATTAACAGTGATTGTAACCGTGATAATTTCTCTTTTATGCATGTGAAAGTCCAGATAATTGTTCTCAGCAATTTTGACTATTTGCTAAAATATTTTCCATCCGTAATTCCAAAACTTTCTTTTTAAAGATTTCTGTAATAATACTGGGACTAATTTTCTCCTCATTTTTTTCATTTTCAAAATCTTACACCAATTTGAATTCTGATTTCGGTAAATTAGTTTTTTCTTAAAAAGACCATGACGTCTTTTTTGCCACATTGCCATATAGACTATGCTCGAAATTTGAAATAGAACAACAATTTTTCCTTTCGTATTTTTTTGGATTCGGTTTTACACAAAGCATAAAACGATGTTATGTTCAATACAGTACAAATCCCAAATTTAACTATGCAGTTACTGACATGTTTTCATGATTCAGTTGCTCAATACTAAAAAAAAAATGCATTTAAGTATTCTTCAATTTCAACGGACTCATTATGGACCATTTCGGTTTTCTGATATCAAATATTCGAAATTATTTTTCTACGATTAATATCAGATGTACTTGCGAAATTTTAGTAAACATTACTTTGGGAAGAGTCATTTAGCTTTCAGAGTACTGAACATTTCTTAAGCTTCTTTTCAACTGTATGTAAGTATTTTTTGTTCTGTCTAAAGTGCATAAAAAGTAAACTTAGGTGACTGTATATTTTCCAAATCAGAAAGACAGAAAAGTGGCTTTTTTAACTTGAAAATAACAAACCAGAAGGTTTTTTGGTGGGTTTAATAGTTTCCGTAGTTTCTGATGCTTCGGTCGTTGTTTCAGTTTCAGCCCCCTCTGTAGTTTCCGGCATTTCTGATGCTTCAGTTTCAGTATCTTCTGTAATTTCTGGCATTTCTGTTGTTTCCATTTCAGTATCATCCGAAGTTCCTGGCATTTCAGTATTATCTGTAGTTTCCGGCATTTCCGATGTTTCAGTTTCAGTATCATCTGCAGTTCCTGGCATTTCACTATTATCTGTAGTTTCCGGCATTTCCGATGTTTCAGTTTCA